AAATGGCTACTGGAGTGGCCAACAAGCAATAGCAAAAGCACGATGCAGATGAATATACACATGGAAAAAACAATAAACGTTTTTAAAAACTATTCTAACAAATACAAATAAATAAATATAATAAATATTGTTATCAAACATTTTTGTACCGTACCTTTTTGAAAATATTTTAAGTGCTCAGCATTATCACAGTGATATATCCTAGTTTAATTAAACGTTCATTTAAAAATCTTTAAAATATATAAATACTTCCAGTTTTCTTACATAAATTGTTTGTTCATATTAAGTATTCTATATAACTAGTTCAGTCTGTTACATTTTGCTATGTGCAGATGACTCGGCCTTAAAGCCAGCGGCATTAATTTCATACAATTAATGGAAATTATATGAAATTATGAGTGGAACATTGAAATTCCTTGTGAACATCACCCGGGACAACAACAATCCAGACGAAATTCACTGCCCGCCTTCAAACAGAATACTCCTGGCACTAACTTGGGTGGCAATTTCCATTTAGAGACAGGCCAAGCCAAATGAAAGAAAATTAAATTTTTCACTGTCTTCTTAATTGAAACATTAGCCAAACATTTTAGCTATTCCCACTCCCCAAACGCTCCACTCCTCTGTTCATTTACATTCAAATTAACTCGTAATGAAAACGAGTCGAGAAACTTTGACTTTGTCTGCATGTTTTTCGTGGGGGTTGTGGCATTTAATTAGTTGCTCTGATTGTTGCTCCTCCGTCGTCCCGTTGTTGTTTCCCTTGTTTATTACTATTTGCCAGCCATTTCTTCTCGACTTAGTCAGTTAAATTATCCACGCCCAAGGATCTGTGTTTGTTTTGACACTCGTTTGATGTTCATTTGCTGCAGTTTAATGACAGTTGGCAGTTACCTATGCGATTGAATGGACAATCAAAATTACAGGGTGGAAAACTGACCTTTGCAAAAGCTGCGAAATGGAAAGCAATGTCGTCATTGTTTTCTCACTTAATAGTTTTGACTTTTAAGGGTGAAATCATTGGTTGATTTTATCGACTTAAAGCTTTGGTCAGCAAAGGAGGTATTTTTAAAGAAGCTAAGGGTTTCTACAGATTTTATTAAATTAATAAGCAAAATACCCATAATATAGGAAACCCTAAATTCTCCTAATTGTTTTAAGGATCTATTTGATATGATACTATGCCCTTGTAAACAGGGTTGTAGTATAGATATCATTTTACATTTACCTCTGTCAACAGAAAAGATTGTTTTTGACCAAAAAAATATTAATTTTTAATGAAATATCAGGGTTGTCATTGATAGAATTCTGGATTACACTTGCCACAACCCGTTCCCACCCACTCCCCAGGAAAAGCCACACCTCACAACCCCCTGCCTTTCTTTTTCCCATCACCCATTTCTCCGGGCGCAATGTTGCCGTGGCAAAAAGAAAACAAGAAAACAGCAACACGTGCCCCTTTTAATTAAAATAAATAAATAGGCGCAAACACATAAATAAACAGAACACCGAGCCATAGAATAACTACAATACCAAATAGAGATGATGGAGACGTTCTCAGTTTCTCTGTCAAAAATTGCCTGGGACTGGTATTCAATTTCATGCATTTATTTGTTAGAGCGGGTTGTGCCCCGGGACAAAAAGGGAGTTTGGAAAGGGGTGAATTCCATCCCCCCTAAAAATTACTCACGACTTGGGGCGCCTTGAGCTATGTTATGCCTTTTTTGTACTGTGTATTCTTTGTGAAACGTGCGCATTTGAATTTGAGGCGAATTATTATTTAGTCGCGGCGAGACGCAAAACGTTTCTCGGAATAAAACATTTCCAACAACTTAATTTTTGTATACCGCAATTTGCATGTGGAATAAATCAAATGTAAAACGCATAAAAGACTCAGGAACACCCCCAATTGAGCAGACGTGAGTTATGGGTTAAGGTGGAGCAGGAACAGTAGCCTTTGTCTGGCCAGGATTATGACCATTTATTTGCCTGTCCGTCCTGAAAATGGTAAATACTCCTGTGGTGGGGCCAACGTTTCGGCTTAAGGCGATTTTCCTCCGTACAAGAAATCAAAATCAATGAAGATTTCGGCGTACAATGGAGCGGTTCGAATAGAAAGAGTTGCCTGCAATCGTTTGGCTTCCACTTTCTGGATTTTTGGGGACGAGTCGTTGGCTTCCTGAACTTTGCTGGCGCCCTTTCATGGATTATGCATCGCTTAGCTTGAGCAAAACTTTTCAACAAACTCTAATTATTTATAACTAATTGAAGGAGCCGCACTGCCAAGTCAAAGAACGACTTTTCCTTGGGTTTTAATTTGATTATTTTTCGGAAAACATTTTCCACAGAGTTCAATTTGTCAAAGTTAATTAAACCGACTTAAGAACTTTATTGACCATTTCCTGCTCACAACAAATGAAAACCAATCAAATTTAATGCGAATCCACCTCGATGGCAAAGGGAGGTAAATGGAGAACAGAAAATATATCTGGCCCGGCCATTGGGCAAGATATAATAATAATTTATGTTATGGCAGCGCCAGAAGATCTGCAAACGATATGTGTATGCTCCACGCCGACCGACATTTTTTCTATACTCTATCTAAAAGGAGGTTCATAGGAAAAACTTTAAAAATTCTAAAAAGTTGAGTTTTTAAAATATAAATAATAAATACATATGCAACAGATAGAACATATAAATATTTTGAGTTCTGCTTTCGAAAGATATGTGAAGAACATTTTGGTAAGCTAATAGTTCTAAGCGAATTCAGTAATAAATACATTTTTATGACATAAAGAAAGCCAGAGCCCTTTTATGTTTTATCGCGTAGTAACCTTATCCTAAAACACATTTTTTTGAAACGATCAATTAAATTTTATATTAATTTATTCTGTTACTCCAGGGTATTTGGACTTCATTTTCGTTTCTACTCCTTAATATTTTTCATATAAATGCACAAGTTTTTGATTGATTCAATCAAAACGATGCAAAACGCAAACGGCGATCAAGAAGTGGACTTGAAGCTGAAGCCAACTCGAAGTTGGAGGCATCAGGTTTTCTGCATGCCTGTCACGTAATTTATTGATTTAGCTCTTGGGAATACGAGAGACTGTTCGTGGATCGTGAAAAATGAAATGTTTGCCACTGCCAGCAGCAGAAGCAGCAGCTAAAAAGAACACTGCTAGAATATTAAAAAAAAAAAAAAAAAAATGTATCGTCATTCAATTATTTTATGGTTTTATAAGGTTGATTCTAAAAATCTATTCTTTTTAAACCGTTTTTATTGCACACAAAATAATATTAAAAGTGCGCTTATAATGTATATGTTTAAAAAATAATTGTTAGTGCATAAAATTTTAAGTTTTGAAACTATATTTATTTACAAATATATTTTATTCATTGATGCCAAATGCCCAAATATCTTTAACTTGTAAACGCCATAAAAACAAGCCTTGCTATTAAAACAAGTCCTTTTGTTAATCATTTCTCTGTGTGCACATGAGCAGACTGGCAAACTGGCATGATGGCTGACCGAACTGGACTGGGGCTGATTGGTTGTCGATCGATTTGGCTGCCGGCCAGACAAATTCAAATGCATTGGCCCCGATCTGTGAATGCAACTGCTTCAGGAGGAGGGCCGTTAACTGAGGGAGATGCGGGGATCAAAGGCACTTACGCATGTACGCCTCGAACGATACACAAAACATGATCATCGGCGGCCACAGCGATCATCGATCAACAGACAGACAGACATCGACATCCCATCCCATCCCATACCATCCTGGGTCTCTCAGATAATGGCCGGCTTGCCATTTTGCATTTTTGCATTTGTAATGAAACTGAAAACCAGAATGAATTGTAATTTGTTCGAAATCGAGCAGAAGCAGCCGCCAGTCCAAGTCCCAGTTTTTGAGCACAAGATATAAGATCAACAGCGCGCCAGACTGAAATTGCACTTCAGGATGTTTAGAGTGGTTGGGGATAAGGTTGCGGATGAGGTGGGAAGAACTTGATAGGAATGAACTTGGGTAGAAGGCACAGTGGGCTAAAATAACAAACTGTTAAATTGTAAAATTTTATAATACTGCCTACTAACCTCACTTTACAAGGGTCTCTTTAAACAAATAAAGCTTTAGGGAACGTGACTTAGTTTTATATCATTTCATTATTTGGAATGCCACATTCATTTAAGAAAAATATTAAATATCTTCAAAACGTGTTGTTATATATCATTTTATTTTTCATTTTTTCATTCCTGACGGTCAAAGATAAAAATTTAGTTATTGAAATATTTTCTGAAACTTACTGTCGTTTAGTTCTAAAACATTATTTCCCAAAATGGTAGTTTTGCAATAACCAACCCACTGTGCAATTGCCTTCTTCAGATCGCTTCCATTCGCTTCTTCATCTTTGGCCTGCAATTCGTATGTAAAATCGAGCATTTTCAACTGTTATCAGGCCCAGTCTTTTGGACTCTTGCCGCTGCTTTTACATACAGATCATCTCGCACTCCCCAAAAACCCCCTTAGTCCACAAAATAAAAAAAATAAACTCCACCGAAGGCAACGCAAATGGCAATTTAAGTCATTTTGTTTGCAGTTTTCCTTTTTTTGCGTACGATTTTTTCGAGTTTTGTTGCAAGGCGAATTCAAAATGGTTTAATATTATGCACAAATCGGGCAAGTTGCGTAGTAAATTATGGGCCATTAACCGAACAGGTAAAGCGAAAAGCGGTAGAGAGACTGCGAGGGGTTTACCTGGCCCGGCCCCGGGTAATCAAATTTGTGTAAAAATGGCAGCAGGCCTTTGGGTGTAAAATGGGGGGCGGTGTCTTCGGCTGGAAGGAAAAACGCATCAGCACTTCCAGGGAAATGCGTGCTACCTGAAGGAAACCCACACCGCGAGAGAGAAAAACATAGTAGTAGTAAAGTTAAGCTGCCTCGGGAGCAGCTGTTGGATCGTAAAAACTAATTTTAAAATCCTCTGTTTTTGCCCTACAGCGATCAGTCTGCTCGGGAATATAGCCTTAGGATGTGGCCGCTACTTCTTCTGCTGGCCTTAATTGCGCCGTCGTGGCAGGAAAATGCCACAGTGATCAACAGTAGTTATGTGACCAAGGCGGGATGTGAGGCTCTAGTCAAAGAGCCAAATCTCTGCGAGTGCCAGGATCAGGAGATCAAGTGCGAAAACCTCCAGTTGCACAGCGATAATCTGCAGCTATACGGCATCGGTTGCAGCATCTTCGATGCCAGAGGTTTTGGCTATATTCCACCTCTTCAAGTGGGTAATATTGGATCCCTGATCGTCCAGAACTGCGCCATACCGAATGCCCAGAGTATTAAATACCTACTCAGTAAATTAGGCGTAAACAACTATACCGAACTGGAGATCTTCAACTATTTCGATCCGAAGAAAACCGATAGAGGAGAAGTTCTGCAGCAGCACTACACAGATCACGTGGACCTTAAAAAAGTGTCCATCATTGGCTTCAAGTCCGCATTGCCCGAGAATTTCTTTGAAAACATTCCAGCTCTTAAACAACTCTCCTTAAAGGGAAGTAGTGACCTGCCCGGAGCTATTCTTCATCCGCTGAAAAATCTTACTCATCTAGAAATTGTGGTCAAGAATTTGGGCAAGGTATCCGGCGATATATTTGCCAAGCAATCAAAACTGAAGCATCTGATGATCGATTGTGATGCCAAGAATAGCAGTGTAGAAATGTCCGCATTTGGACCTCAAGAACTGTGGCACATGACCGACCTTCAGTCGATCGAGCTCTTCAATTGCGGCGATAATGTGCCGACTGAATTGTTCTGGATGTCGGAGCAGTTGGCCTACATAGGAATAAGGAGCAACATTAGCTATTTGAGTAAGGACTTCCTTAAGGTGCAAAAGAAACTGCTAACTTTGCGATTGGAGAGGAACAATATAGCCAGGTTGCCCGACCAGCTCTTCCGCAATACCCCTTTGATTTTGGAAATACATTTGGCCTTCAACAATTTGGATCGCATTCAGAGGTGAGTTGTTTTTAAAATATTTATGTAAAATATAACAAGATTTGATTATATTTGTATAAAATATTTACAAGTAACTGCTAAATACACAGATATTTTAAAATTTGTTTAGAAATACAAGTAGAGAACTCTGAAATATTTCAATTCCAATCTAAGCAAACAGTATCATACATTTTATTCCAAATAAGAACTGCACAATTTCAGAAAAAGAGAGTATACAATTTTATAAAATACCTAATTAGTTTATGTTTTTAAAATGATATAGTAAAAACAAACCCTTTATTTTCCTTTACCAGCGGACTTTTTGACAAGTTAAGGAACCTACAAGTGCTGAATTTGGAGCACAATCCGATAACAACCATTGCCCTAAATGCCTTTACTCCCATACCAACTGCCCATATCTACGTGGGCAAACTCTTTAAGGCGGCGAAAAATAATGCCGACTGGGCTCGGTCCACAAATGCCACAATCTGTGAGGAGGAGTATATCTACGGGGTGTGCATCTACTGCAAACGAGATGAGTATCTGGACCATTTTGCCGACTCGGAGAACTGCAACAAGCCGAATCCAAAGGCCAAAGATGTGCTGGCCAAGAAGGCCTACGAAAACCAGCTGAAGGCAATGCCCACTCACTCGTGGAAAAAGGCCAAGGAATGTAAGTATTCGGCAGACTCAACTTTTATCCCATTCCAGTGATTTCTTGCCAATAATTTATATTAAATTTGACATGCGACTCCCCTTCCAACACAGACATTGCCAAATTGAAAACGAAATAAAAAGCAGAAAGCGCATGAAATACAAACAATATTAATATTTGTTGCTCGCTTTCAACGCCGGCGATAATATGGAAAGAAAGTTAGAGGTTGGTGCGAAGTCAACACAACATTTTTATATATAAATCATGAAGGAAAACAATTTATCTTTTGATTTGTAGCCAAGGGGTGGGTTGCTACGAAAATGAAAGAAAAGTTTGCCAGGGAGCAACATGTCAAATGTAATAAGGCCTAATGTTCTCTTCCTTTATTTTTCGGAGGGCTGGAATGGATTGTAAGTGAAAGTCAGATGAAGAGAATCAAGTGAATTATGCGGGTTGCGAGGGGAAAGCGAAAAACATTTCAGATTGCTATCATTTATGATAAAAAAAAAAGCCAGCGACTGACAGAAGCAAAAGGGAAGTAAAAAAGTCATGAGGAATGTTTCAGTGTTATGCAAATCACATCTGACATTTCTTATTGTTGATATAACATCTAACTTTATAAAGGGGAGAGGGGGGCCCACTGAGCCGACAACTCATAAATGTCAAGGATATCACATGTTGAACTCTGTGGGTCCTCAGCGATGAAAGTAGATTGATCAGCAATCAAATGTAAATTCCTATAAATGGAAAAGGAGTTCTTTTGGGGTGGCCTTCTAAATGGGCGCTTAAAATGATCCAATTGAAGTGACACATATTTAGATGAAAGGAAACGCGAAAAAATATTATAAATTAGGTATGAAAAATATTGCATTGATATTATGCAATGTAAGTTAAATTGTTATATTGTAACACAATTTTAAATATAATATTTTATATGACATTTAAAATATTAAAAATTGTATTTATTTCATATCGCAGTTTTCCTTTTTTAATATTTACTAAAGTACCTATAAAATTGTATTTTACGAAGAGTCGAATGGCATAAAAAGTAAACTCCCAATCTTAGTTTTCTTGGTTAAAGTTTAAAACTAACACTTCATCAGTTGTCACCCATTTTAAACAGCTAATGGGTGGCATCTTCGAATCGAATTCCCCAACTATTTTTTTTTTAGCATTTTTCTGAGCTTACTTTAATGCGCTTTAATGCAGGCCATAACTCATGGCCTCACTTACTCAGTCAGTCGTCGGCGGGCTTCTAATCTCAATTTGCTGTTTGAGTTGCCACTAATAAAACGCACGACAAACTGACACCAATGGATTCGAAGAGAACCACTGACCACTGACCACTTTGGACGCCACCGTACGCCACCGACACCGACGATCCACATGCATTTGTGCTGCTGTCGATACACGACATTGAATTTGGGTTTCTTTGTGGTTCTCTTTTTTTAGGCTTTCTGTGTTTTCGATAGACATAATTTGTCGGGCATGAGTTGACACTGACACACAGAAAGTCTAAAACAAGAGGAGATTGAATATTTTAAAGATGGGATTTTTTTTAGGTGGAATTTAAGGATTAACAAGGGGGCTTAAATAAAGCAGGAAATTGAATTGAAATATTACGTAATTTAAAAAAAATATTTATATTATTTTGTTCTTTTTTTAATATTTGTATAAAGCAAAGTTGGATACTTTAAGTACCAGAAATTGATGTCTTAGTACATCAAATCTTTCATAAGACATTATAAATCTAATAGATTTTGGTATTTAATTTTTTTAGAAATTGTCTGGCTATATTCTCAGCTTAGGAAGGAGAAACTACTTAGAATCAATTGCAGTTATGTTCATTAGAAACATATAACGAAGGTATAAGGCACCGAACCCCTCTAGAAATTATTCTATTGGACCACCACTGTTCGCAACTGACCAGCGACAACAACTGGCCATCCACTTGGCCCCAGACTGCGACTGGCTCTCCACAAATGCAGCTTTTGTACTACTCGTATCTGGCGGATACATTTCAAAGCAATGCCAACTGGGCTGCGTTTATCGCCTGGTAGCCCCGCAGACCTCAGGACTCGGGCCAGAAACAAACAGAGCAAAAGAGCGAGGGTCGCATGCGAAATTTATGGGCATCAACGTTCGGTTTGAAGCGAGATCCCGAAAAACCTGGACTCCGGGAACCCGCAGACTAGCTCCAGTGGCTGGCTTGGCATTTGTAATGCCTAAATGCTTTGGCGAATTGATTTTTGGTGTAAACGATGTGCAATTTTAATGGATTGTGCTGCCAGATAAGCCGAAGGAGGATACTCCGCATTTATGTGTGGTATAGCAATATAGCAGGGGTCCCAACTTGGCCGATCCGATGCGATGCGAAACGTGGCTTGTCGTGTGTCGTTTAATTGAATTTGTTTTGATTAGTTGCCCGATGTGTGTGCCGGCATTTTGCAAATGCAGCTTAAAGTGTTCTACCGCTCGACTTTTAAGCTCACAAAACCAGGGGCATGCAAAAAAACAAAAAGGGGAAAAAAACGTTTGGGCCTTGAGGCATCCAGCTAAATTGACATTGTTCATAGTCATAACATGACGGAAAAATGTCAATTTAAATATTGGCAAATATTTTAACAAGGCATGCCCCAGCAGCGCTAATTTCGCATGTGCGAAATAAAAATTGTGCACATTTTTTTGCGCCAAAAAATAAGAGTGCCCGAAAAAGGTGCCACAACTTTTTTAATTAATTAAGGGAATGATAACGAGAGCGCCGGGGGCCAAAGAAAATATTATGCAAAAATTGTGAGTCAAGAGAATGCGAAAAATGTTTGGGTTGGAAAAGGTTAACACAACGGTAGGGTTAAAAAGTTGTTGTTCGTTGGCGATGTATTTAACAATTTATAACGTTCTTTGGTTACTTCACACAAATAATAATCCAATAACAAAATATCACTTTAAATCACAAAATCAAAAACGGAAACAAAATTTAAATTCCAAAATATTATTATTATTTTAAAAGCCAAATTTAGCAAAAGGGAAAATATTCCAACAAGCTTACTCTACAACAATTATGAGAACGGACTTCAAGAAAATTTTTCGAAATACTTAATACAGCTTATGTTGTAGGGTGAATATTTACTAGAATCGTAATTGGCTCTCATCTTAATCCCATTGATTCTCCTGCTCTTGATTTAAAAGCCTTTTATTTTCCTATGAGTTAAATCGTTTGGAATTCGATTCCATTCAAAAGTCAATTAGACAGTGAGAAACCAAACACAGAATGCCATATAACACCCTAGGGGTTCAATTCGCAATCTCCATTTGAGTTTGAATGACAGGCGGCAGTGCAGTTAACTTGTTGATTTTGCCAAAAGAAGGGGTCAAGTTTGGGGGCAGGTTAAGTCCCAGTCGGAAATCTCGGCAGAATTTCTATTGTTTATGCATAGAAGTCAATTTGTGCAGCGAAACTCGAGTCGTAGGCAATTTGTTTGGGAGCCTGTGTATGCATTTCAATTAGAATAAGATTGACAGCTAAGCTTGGGGAGGGAAACTGGGATCGGAACGGAACAATTGGGGTATCCTCGTGTCCGAAAGCCTGAACTGCACTCGCACTTGCACTTCTACTGACCGATAAGGTTATGCACTTGGCTTGTGGTTTTTCGAATTTAATTGAGTTTAATTGATTCGGTTTGGGAACTAAGGGGAGTCTGTGTGCACTCACTTTTGGGGTGGCTTTCAACCGGGAATTATGTGGTGGGGTGAGCGGTTTTAAAGTTGCACTCTACTTTTGACCGTTTAAATGTTGCATGACTTCCAGAGGCTCGCAGTTGGTAGCAGTGAAAAATTGCAGCTGTCAGCGTTGGCCAGAAAAATGATTTGTTGATTTTGTTTCTGGGTTTGAGGAGCTCGTGGGGTTGCATAAATCATAAAACGCTTTACATATTGGATGGCAGCCCATTCTTGGTACACGTATGCAATTAAACTTAATATAAATGTCTGGTAATTATTGTGTCTGCATTGCATGAACTGCAGCGGCTTTAACTAATAATTGACTCAACAAGCGTACGAAAAACGTATCTAAATTAATAATCTTGCACTTTCAGATCCCGAGAAGGAAGAGCAGCCTTAAGTTCCAAACGCTTCACTGGGATTTTACGCATCAGTACTAACTAGTATTTGGATTTATGAATTGCTTATGTATACAACCATAATGAGATTAAAATAAACTGAAATTAGAGTAAGCTGAAACTTCAGTGTTCTTAGTGCATATAATTGCTTCGTGTCTTTTGAGTAACTTTAATGTACTTCTTGTACTTTTTTAATTTGGTAGGTGTTAATGAGTTACGTAAACCTTTCAGTAGATAGAGTTGAGTAAATTCGTTTAATTATCATAATATAATATATACAAACTATAATTGTCTAAAAATATAGTTTTTTCTAAACAATTTTGTGCTTGTGCTCATTTTTAAATTAATTAAAAGATTGCATTAAACAAACAAATATTTTGTTATAACCACACACTAAACAATAAAATTAAGTACTGACTACAACATTTTTTTTCCTTTTCCCAATAAAAATGCTTACTTCTTCATAACTCCAGTGTAACTATCAAATAACTCCCCAACATTGGGTTATATCATCCCGCAGTCATAGCTATTAGCCCTGCAGAAAACCAAAAAGACACACAATAGCATTCCATTTTCCATGGATCTAATATTTGCCAAATATGCCAAAACAAAACGACTGGCATAAAAATCACAATAAAACAAAACAAAGCAAGAAAAACAGGATGATGGAACCCGAAGGCGACTATTGTAGATACGGTCATGGGTGGGTGTTAATAGCAGGGAGAAATGGGTGGCTGGGAGCCCCTGAAAGCTTTCTCCAGTATCGCGCCTTTTGTGTGCGATGTGTTTACATGGTGATTTTTTGTTGGCACGCGATATCCTTTTTCCCGCCGCCCTGAATGTTTACCCTCCGAGTGCCACCCCCTCCGCATTTTATTTCCCCCAGTGTTTGCTCCTTTCGGGCTGTCTGTCATATGTGAACTATGAAATGGCTGGCAAACATTCAACTATTGTTTGCATTAGTTGGTCCTTTTCAGCTTTTCGTTTTGGCCAAATGCCCCGCATAATTGCTGCCGCTTCTTTGTCCATCAAACAATGGGAAAAACACCGACAACGGCAACAATAGCAACATTTGTCGTTAGTTATTCATTTGGATTTAAAACCAAGTCGCTGCCACACTGCAGTTAATTAGGCGGTTAATAAAATGACAACACGTGGAGTTTTGACAAAATAACAGTTATCTTAAATAAATAAATAAACGCTAGTTTTAAAATATTTGTTTGAAAATTCAGGTCAATTTATTAATCATATCTTAAACACTGTGAACTTAGAATATATTTATCTTAAAAGCTTGCACAGCAGTTTGATAAATATATAATTTTGATGCTTAACATATCTAAATGACAAGATAAATTCTTTGAGTGCTCAGTGCACCTGAAGGCCAGCGAAATATTGCAATTGCAGGAGGTGTTCTCGTTCCCTTTCTCTGACGGCGTCATGTCTTTATTGCTGGATGCAAACAGCAACGGCAAACAACCAAACAACCGGCAGAAACAACAACAGCAGCTGTAAATTTATGCACGCACATGCAGCTGGTTGCATTTTTTGCAAGGCTCTACTGTTGCATGTTGCCGCCTTTTTGGGGCGTTTTTCCGCAATGTTCCGAATGTTGCAGGTGCAACAGCAACAACGCCAGCACGTGGCATGTGCAACAATGATGTCAAGCAAAATATTCAGTTGCAGATCTAAGGTGAAACCGGCGGGGGTGTCCAAACACATACATTTCTGCCTTGATTGGTTTGTCACAACACATTGTCGCTGCGCCGAAAAATTTCAAATGCCTGTCGACGGCATTTGTAGCATTTTGTAGCTTGGGAATTGGCTTGAAAAATAGTTATGAAGTATGCAAATTCATGTGGGTATCTGCAGAAAAAATAACAAATTAACAAAAAGTTGGAAAATATGTTTGGCTATGCAAATTCAAATTAAAAGATTTCTCAGTTCCTATTGGAATCTTTATTCATCCTTCATTCAACATTTTGATTACACCAAAAAAAAAAACATTGGCATAGAAACTAAACTATTGTTACACGAGTGTTTTGGGTGCAGATATTTAGAAATAAAATAAATGATAAGCACAACTCAAGAACAATACAAACACATCTTTAAAAAAGTATACAAAAATAGTGTTTTCGTCCAATATCTTTGATAACCCCTTACTTCATGCCCATTTCGTGGAGCCATTCCCCCAATTCAAATATTTCAGTATTGCCTCGATCGTTAATATTGACTTCGCCCCAACCAAGTAGCCACTTAGCCGGGCTTTAACAAATAGCCCGTAGGACAATTGGCCCAGCCATCGAATAACGACAAAAACACATGAATAATGCAGGCTATTTACTAGGAGCCCGCCCCACTCGCCAATCATCAACGCCTAAGCATCGAAATTAGCGCAAACAACAATTACAAATGCTTGAATGCATTTAATTATTTTGTTGATTGTTTGGGCAAATATGTATGTTCAAATCAGAAAAACTAATCAAAAATGCAATAGAAAAATACATTTAGCGCAAATTAATTAAAATTATCGAGGCGAACGGGCAATTCGACAGAAAAAAGGAGTGAAATAACAAATGGCAGAGCCAAAGCAACTAATTAATGAGTTGATTAATAAACAATTAGACGTCGGAGCAGGGAAAATAGTTACCAAATCGATGGCAATTTATGAGCTGGTAATTGACGCCCACACACACACACTCACACGAAAAACCGGGCCCATAACTCAGCACTTTGGCCAAGTGGCGACTGTTGTAAATCAAGTGAGCCTAAGCCCGAGCCCAAACCAGGCAACTTGTTTGCTCTTTTTTTTTGGCATGCAAACTTGGCCCAGCTGGAGTTGAAAAGTCTGGAGGAGAAAAATAAAATAAAAGGTAGTAGGTATGCCTGCCCACTCTCAGATCCCCGGCTAGATACCCGAAAATTTTTATTTAACCTCCTCCGAAAGCGTTCCGTAGGCACTAGCCTAGCCAGAAAAGTGGGTGGAGCAGCCGGGATCCCGGTGGCAGCCACTGCACTTGGCTTCTGCAGTTGCAAATTTCTTACTTCGACCTGGTACCTAGCACCCGGCCACGCCCACTCTTTTTCTTCCAGCCTCCTCCTCCTTCTCCTCCTGCTGCTGCTGCTGCTGTTGCCCTGGGGTTCTTTTTTGGGCCCATACACACACTCGCACACACACACAAACAGCAACTAGCGAACTGATTGTTCAGATAAGTGGGCCCACGACTTGACTATGCCTTTGGTCGGGATTACAATACCCGTATTGGTTCAAGTCGCAAGCGCAAATATGTTAATTGCAACAGCGCCAAACAGAAGCCGAAAATGTTGGGAGGGGACGGTTTTCATTTTCAGCGAGGTGTATCAGATTGTGGGAGTTCAAATCGCAATTGAAATAAATGTTCCAAAAGCGTTAATTGCTTCATTAACAAGCAAATTACCATACAAATGAAGGCATTATCAAGCTGAAATGGAAAAGTGAACTTGTTAGCAACACATTATTTGTTTTTCCATCAGATAAGATATAAGATGTTCTAGATAAAAATTTTATAACATTAATTAATATATTACTGTCTATCGTTTATTTTCAAGACTCACTTGTTAAAACTAAACTTTTAATTTTTTTGTGTGTAGTCGCCAGAGCATTTCCACAGGCCAAAATATAGTCAATGAATGGCAGAAGGTTCGGCAAATTGAAATTAATTTAAAGACACAAAAAAGCGTTAATTGAACAACACTAGGGCCAACATTTGATTGCTTAATTTACATGAAAATTAACTAAACCAGAGGCTGGGTGCGATGGCGAAATCACAGGAAAAACGAAATAGCAGTGGAAATTCCAAAATAGAACAAGAATTAATGGTGTCAGGGCCAAGGAGTCATCCCTTCGGTGGCGAGGACAGTGCGGAGTTCATAAAGACGCAGACCATTAAGACGTTTTAATTCTTGATTTTACACCCTTGTCGTGGGTACTTTTTTTTTTTGGGTCCAAGGAGTCCGAGAACTCGGTCGTGGCTCATGACCCACGAGGGCTGTCAATTTCTGGGCTTTATGCCCCTCGTCCGTTGTCGTTTTATTTTTAATTTCGTCTGAGCGAGTCTTTTTTATGCCGTCGAGGCTCATTAGATTTGCAAAATGTTTCGCTTCTCTTCGCCGGCAATGGTGGTCGTTAACGTTATTAGGTTCTTGGTCTCTGACCCCCGCGCCATGGCAATATGCAATTGGATTAATAAATGCCATTAGGCATTGCAAGTGTTTTATTTTTATTCCATTTTTTGGGATGGATAATTTGTATTTATGCTGTCATTTTATGCCAATTTAAGTCAAGTTATGGGCAAGGACAGAAAAGAATACAAAGTGAAATGTTGGAAAAAAAATTCGGGCAGAAATCAATATGCTATACTCTTTACTTTAAGTTTTTAATAGATTAATGGTAAATTACAATTTAAAATGGTGAATGGTAATGGTAATGGAAATGGTAAAATGGTGGATATATATGTTACTAGTGATAATGACACTGATTAACTTACCTTGCTAAAATACTTTGAGCTCTATTCCTCAAAAACTTGAATTGTATTTTAAAAAAATTTTAAATAAAATGTTACGCCACATTAAGTTGCGTTGTGTGACGAAAAAAAAGAAAAGTTAAATTTGACGAGGATGATACGGAAAAAAAGAAATGGAAATGAGACAAATGTCAACAATCGTTGGGTTATTTTTGCTTTTCATGGGGTGACTTTGTGGGTGTGACCCCGACACTTGGCAAACACATTTTCCAACAGCAATTAGACCAGCGCGTTTTTTATTTTAATATAAATGAAGTGAAATTAAAAGGCAACTGTTGACAAAGGCCGGAGAGTCACATGTGGTTACGGGCAGTGGCAGTCGAGTTCGACGGTCATCATCAAAGCAGACGCACGTGTCTGGGCGGTCAACTTGGTCCTAAAGCAAATGCTTTTGACACCTTTCAAGCGAGTGGGTGTGAAAAAAGCCCTGAATAAAAGGTCACAAAGCCGGACAATTGAAGAGGTCGTTGTGGTCGGGGTCATTCGACCCCCCAACATCCTTCAGCTGACAGCATCAACGCCCACGAGTTCATAATAATCAAAAATCTCTGACCACTTGCTA